GCTGCCCACTTCTTATTTACAATGTCACCTGAAAGTGAGAACAGGTGTTCGCATGGCACTGTTGTAGTATTTACGTGCCAGATATGCTAAACATTCATATGCCCCTTTATGTTTCAGCCACCATTCCAAAGGACATGCTTCCATGCTGATGATGATCATTTAAAAAAAAATAAAAAAGCATTAATTAAATTTGTGACTGAACTCCTTGGGGGAGAATTGTATGTCTCCTGCTCTGTTTTACCCGCATTTTGCCATATATTTCATGTTATAGCAATCTTGGATGATGACCCAGCACATGTTTGTTTTAAGAACACTTTGTGTTTTGTCAAATCTGAAGTGAAAGAAGGTACCAATATTAGATTTCTAAAGATAGCTACAGCACTCAACCCAAGGTTTAAGAATCTGAATTGTCTTTCAAAATCTGAGAGTGATGAGGTGGGGCATGTTTTCAGAAGTCTTAAAAGAGCAACACTCCAATTCAGAAACTACAGAACTGAACCACCAAAAAAGAAAATCAACCTTCTGCTGGTGGCATCTGACTCAGGTGATGAAAATGAACATGCATCAATCCACACTGTTTTGGGTCATTATCAAGTAGAACTTGTCATCAGCATGGACGCATGCCCTTTGGAAGGGTGGTTGAAGCATGAAGGGGCATATGAATCTTTAGCTACAACAGTGCAAACACCTGTTGCAAATGTAAACAAACTTGTTTGTCCGAGTGACGAGCTGAACAAGAAGTAGGACTGAGTAGACTTGTAGATGCTAAAGTTTTACATTGTTTTTGTTTTTGAGTGCAGTTATTTTTTGTACAAAATTCTACATTTGTAAGTTCAATTTTCATGGTAAAGAGATAATAGAAAGTGAGCGCCATACACTTTGTATTCTGTGTGGTAATTTAAATCAATATATTTGAAAATGTAGAAAACATCCAAAAATATTTAAATAAATGGTAATCTATTCTTTAACAGTGCGATTAATTGTTTTTAATCGCTTGACAGCCCTAATAACAATCCGCATGGAACCTGGGGAGAAGAACATCAGGTTGCAGGAGGGTACCAGGAAATAAGTTTGCATGTCAATGGCTTAAGCGCTAGTAGCAGTTAAAGCACTTCTGTAAAGTTATTTTAATGAAGAACCGCTTTAATTTTAGACACATGGCATCTGTAATTGAGAAGCTGGCCGAATACATGAAATTGGGCTCAGTTCTCCTCTTCCACACCAGGAGCGCCCTTGTTTGGTACAATGAGGAGGGTGGGGCTGACTCTGGGGATTACAAATGAGAGTAAAGAGAGCTGAGACAAAGGGTATGTCTACACTACGGAATAAGGTCGAATTTATAGAAGTCGGTTTTTTAGAAATCGGTTTTATATATTCGAGTGTGTGTGTCCCCACAGAAAATGCTCTAAGTGCATTAAGTGCATTAACTCGGCGGAGCGCTTCCACAGTACCGAGGCTAGAGTCGACTTCCGGAGCGTTGCACTGTGGGTAGCTATCCCACAGTTCCCGCAGTCTCCGCTGCCCATTGGAATTCTGGGTTGAGATCCCAATGCCTGATGGGGCTAAAACATTGTCGCGGGTGGTTCTGGGTACATATCGTCAGGCCCCCCGTTCCCTCCCTCCCTCCGTGAAAGCAAGGGCAGACAATCGTTTCGCGCCTTTTTTCCTGAGTTACCTGTGCAGACGCCATACCACGGCAAGCATGGAGCCCGCTCAGGTAACCGTCACCCTATGTCTCCTGGGTGCTGGCAGACGCGGTACGGCATTGCTACACAGTAGCAGCAACCCCTTGCCTTGTGGCAGCAGACGGTACAGTACGACTGGTAGCCGTCATCGTCATGTCCGAGGTGCTCCTGGCCACGTTGGCTGGGAGCGCCTGGGCAGACATGGGCGCAGGGACTAAATTTGGAGTGACTTGACCAGGTCATTCTCTTTAGTCCTACAGTCAGTCCTATTGAACCGTCTTATGGTGAGCGGGCAGGCGATACGGACTGCTAGCAGTCGTACTGTACCATCTTCTGCCGAGCAGCCATGAGATGTGGATGGCATGCAGTCCTTCTGCACCGTCTGCTGCCAGCCAAAGATGTAAAAGATAGATGGAGTGGATCAAAACAAGAAATAGACCAGATTTGTTTTGTACTCATTTGCTTCCCCCCATCCCCTGTCTAGGGGACTCATTCTTCTAGGTCACACTGCAGTCACTCACAGAGAAGGTGCAGCGAGGTAAATCTAGCCATGTATCAATCAGAGGCCAGGCTAACCTTCTTGTTCCAATAAGAACGATAACTTAGGTGCACCATTTCTTATTGGAACCCTCCGTGAAGTCCTGCCTGAAATACTCCTAGATGTAAAGCCACCCCCTTTGTTGATTTTAGCTCCCTGAAGCCAACCCTGTAAGCCGTGTCCTCAGTCGCCCCTCCCGGCGTCAGAGCAACGGCAAACAATCGGGCATCTGAGAGTGCTGTCCAGAGCAGTCACAATGGAGCACTCTGATGGGGCTAAAACATTGTCGCGGGTGGTTCTGGGTACGTATCGTCAGGCCCCCGTTCCCTCCCTCCCTCCGTGAAAGCAAGGGCAGACAATCATTTTGCGCCTTTTTTCCTGAGTTACCTGTGCAGACGCCATACCACGGCAAGCATGGAGCCCGCTCAGGTAACCGTCACCCTATGTCTCCTGGGTGCTGGCAGACGCGGTACGGCTTTGCTGCACAGTAGCAGCAACCCATTGCCTTCTGGCAGCAGACGGTGCAATACGATTGGTAGTCGTCCTCGTCGTGTCCGAAGTGCTCCTGGCCACGTCGGCTGGGAGCGCCTGGGCAGACATGGGCGCAGGGACTAAATTTGGAGTGACTTGACCAGGTCATTCTCTTTAGTCCTGCAGTCAGTCCTATTGAACCGTCTTATGGTGAGCGGGCAGGCGATACGGACTGCTAGCAGTCGTACTGTACCATCTTCTGCCAGGCAGGCAAGAGATGAGGATTGCTAGTAGTCGTATTGTACCACCTTCTGCCAGGCAGGCAAGAGATGAGGATGGCTAGCAGTCGTACTGTACCATCTTCTGCCGAGCAGCCATGAGATGTGGATGGCATGCAGTCCTTCTGCACCGTCTGCTGCCAGCCAAAGATGTAAAAGATAGATGGAGTGGGTCAAAACAAAAAATAGACCAGATTTGTTTTGTACTCATTTGCCTCCTCCCCTGTCTAGGGGACTCATTCCTCTAGGTCACACTGCAGTCACTCACAGAGAAGGTGCAGCGAGGTAAATCTAGCCATGTATCAATCAGAGGCCAGGCTAACCTCCTTGTTCCAATAAGAACGATAACTTAGGTGCACCATTTCTTATTGGAACCCTCCGTGAAGTCCTGCCTGAAATACTCCTTGATGTACAGGCACCCCCTTTGTTGATTTTAGCTCCCTGAAGCCAACCCTGTAAGCCGTGTCCTCAGTCGCCCCTCCCTCCGTCAGAGCAACGGCAGACAATCGTTCCGCGCCTTTTTTCTGTGCGGACGCCATACCAAGGCAAGCATGGAGGCCGCTCAGCTCACTTTGGCAATTAGGAGCACATGAAACACCACACGCATTATCCAGCAGTATATGCAGCACCAGAACCTGGCAACGCGATACCGGGCGAGGAGGCGACGTCAGCGCGGTCACGTGAGTGATCAGGACATGGACACAGATTTCTCTGAAAGCATGGGCCCTGACAATGCATGCATCATGGTGCTAATGGGGCAGGTTCATGCTGTGGAACGCCGATTCTGGGCTCGGGAAACAAGCACAGACTGGTGGGACCGCATAGTGTTGCAGGTCTGGGACGATTCCCAGTGGCTGCGAAACTTTCGCATGCGTAAGGGCACTTTCATGGAACTTTGTGACTTGCTTTCCCCTGCCCTAAGGCGCCTGAATACCAAGATGAGAGCAGCCCTCACAGTTGAGAAGTGAGTGGCGATAGCCCTGTGGAAGCTTGCAACGCCAGACAGCTACCGGTCAGTTGGGAATCAATTTGGAGTGGGCAAATCTACTGTGGGGGCTGCTGTGATGCAAGTAGCCCATGCAATCAAAGATCTGCTGATATCAAGGGTAGTGACCCTGGGAAATGTGCAGGTCATAGTGGATGGCTTTGCTGCAATGGGATTCCCTAACTGTGGTGGGGCTATAGACGGAACCCATATCCCTATCTTGGCACCGGAGCAGCAAGCCGCCGAGTACATAAACCGCAAGGGGTACTTTTCGATAGTGCTGCAAGCTCTGGTGGATCACAAGGGACGTTTCACCAACATCAACGTGGGATGGCTGGGAAAGGTGCATGATGCTCGCATCTTCAGGAACTCTGGTCTGTTTCAAAAGCTGCAGGAAGGGACTTTATTCCCAGACCAGAAAATAACTGTTGGGGATGTTGAAATGCCTATATGTATCCTTGGGGACCCAGCCTACCCCTTAATGCCATGGCTCATGAAGCCGTACACAGGCAGCCTGGACAGTAGTCAGGAGCTGTTCAACTACAGGCTGAGCAAGTGCAGAATGGTTGTAGAATGTGCATTTGGACGTTTAAAGGCGCGCTGGCGCAGTTTACTGACTCGCTTAGACCTCAGTGAAACCAATATTCCCACTGTTATGACTGCTTGCTGTGTGCTCCACAATATCTGTGAGAGTAAGGGGGAGACGTTTATGGCGGGGTGGGAGGTTGAGGCAAATCGCCTGGCTGCTGGTTACGTGCAGCCAGACACCAGGGCGGTTAGAAGAGCACAGGAGGGCGCGGTACGCATCAGAGAAGCTTTGAAAACCAGTTTCATGACTGGCCAGGCTACGGTGTGAAAGTTCTGTTTGTTTCTCCTTGATGAAACCCCCCGCCCCTTGGTTCACTCTACTTCCCTGTAAGCTAACCACCCGCCCCTCCTCCCTTCAATCACCGCTTGCAGAGGCAATAAAGTCATTGTTGCTTCACATTCATGCATTCTTTATTCATTCATCACACAAATAGGGGGATGACTACCAAGGTAGCCCAGGAGGGGTGGTGGAGGAGGGAAGGAAAATGCCACACAGCACTTTAAGCACAGCACTTTAAAAGTTTACAACTTTAAAATTTATTGAATGACAGCCTTCTTTTTTTTGGGCAATCCTCTGTGGTGGAGTGGCTGGTTGGCCGGAGGCCCCCCCCCCGCGTTCTTGGGCGTCTGGGTGTGGAGGCTATGGAACTTGGGGAGGAGGGCGGTTGGTTACAGAGGGGCTGCAGTGGCAGTCTGTGCTCCAGCTGCCTTTGCTGCAGCTCAACCATACACTGGAGCATACTGGTTTGGTCCTGCAGCAGCCTCAGCATTGAATCCTGCCTCCTCTCATCACGCTGCCGCCACATTTGAGCTTCAGCCCTGTCTTCAGCCCGCCACTTACTCTCTTCAGCCCGCCACCTCTCCTCCCGGTCATTTTGTGCTTTCCTGCACTTTGACATTATTTGCCTCCATGCATTCGTCTGTGCTCTGTCAGTGTGGGAGGACAGCATGAGCTCGGAGAACATTTCATCGCGAGTGCGTTTTTTTTTCTTTCTAAGCTTCACTAGCCTCTGGGAAGGAGAAGATCCTGTGATCATTGAAACACATGCAGCTGGTGGAGAAAAAAAAAGGGACAGCGGTATTTAAAAAGACACATTTTATAAAACAGTGGCTACACTCTTTCAGGGTAAACCTTACTGTTAACATTACATACATAGCACATGTGCTTTCGTTACAAGGTCGCATTTTGCCTCCTCCCACCGCGTGACTACCCCCTCAACCTTCCCCCCTCCCTGTGGCTAACAGCGGGGAACATTTCTGTTTAGCCACAGGCAAACAGCCCAGCAGGAATGGGCTCCTCTGAGTGTCCCCTGAAGAAAAGCACTCTGTTTCAACCAGGTGACCATGAATTATATCTCACTCTCCTGAGGATAACACAGAGAGATAAAGGATGGATGTTGTTTGAATGCCAGCAAACATACACTGCAATGCTTTGTTGTACAATGATTCCTGAGTACGTGTTACTGGCCTGGAGTGGTAAAGTGTCCTACCATGAAGGACGCAATAAGGCTGCCCTCCCCAGAAACCTTTTGCAAAGGCTTTAGGACTACATCTAGGAGAACCGCAAATGCCAGGGCAAAGTAATCCTTTCACATGCTTGCTTTTAAACCATGTATAGTATTTTAAAAGGTACACTCACCAGAGGTCCCTTCTCCGCCTGCTGGGTCCAGGAGGCAGCCTTGGGTGGGTTCGGGGGGTACTGGCTCCAGGTCTAGGGTGAGAAACAGTTCCTGGCTGTCGGGAAAACCGGTTTCTCCGCTTGCTTGCTGTGAGCTATCTACAACCTCCTCCTCCTCATCATCTTCTTCGTCCCCAAAACCTGCTTCCGTATTGCCTCCATCTCCATTGAAGGAGTCAAACAACACGGCTGGGGTAGTGGTGGCTGAACCCCCTAAAATGGCATGCAGCTCATCATAGAAGCGGCATGTTTGGGGCTCTGACCCAGAGCGGCTGTTCGCCTCTCTGGTTTTCTGGTAGGCTTGCCTCAGCTCCTTCAGTTTCACGCGGCACTGCTTCGGGTCCCTGTTATGGCCTCTGTCCTTCATGCCCTGGGAGATTTTCACAAAGGTTTTGGCATTTCGAAAACTGGAACGGAGTTCTGATAGCACGGATTCCTCTCCCCAAACAGCGATCAGATCCCGTACCTCCCGTTCGGTCCATGCTGGAGCTCTTTTGCGATTCTGGGACTCCATCATGGTCACCTGTGCTGATGAGCTCTGCATGGTCACCTGCAGCTTGCCACGCTGGCCAAACAGGAAATGAGATTCAAAAGTTCGCGGTTCTTTTCCTGTCTACCTGGCCAGTGCATCTGAGTTGAGAGTGCTGTCCAGAGCGGTCATAATGGAGCACTCTGGGATAGCTCCCGGAGGCCAATACCATCGAATTGTGTCCACAGTACCCCAAATTCGAGCCGGCAACGTCGATTTAAGCGCTAATCCACTTGTCAGGGGTGGAGTAAGGAAATCGATTTTAAGAGCCCTTTAAGTCGAAATAAAGGGCTTCATTGTGTGGATGGGTGCAGGTTTACATCGATTTAACGCTGCTAAATTCAACCTAAAGTCCTAGTGTAGACCAGGGCAAAGAGTAGAGCTCGGCTGAGAGCTACAGGAAAGGGATGCCCCTGAAGGAGGGAGGGGTGAGAATTCACTGGGTGGGGCAGTGGAGCCAGCTCAGGCTGGTGAAAGTGGAAGGCAGTCAGGGGGTCACAAACTCTGCCAGGCCAGAGAGCTGAGATCAGTGAAGGAAGAAAGATTGGGTGGGCCAGCTGTTGTCTCCAGGCAAGGGCTGGAATCCTACCCCAGAAGGAAGCAGGGTAGAGAAATACCTCAGCTAGCGGGGTTGGGGAGAGGTGTGGTGAGAGATGCTGGCATTGTGTTTGGTATTGGACTGGTGAGCTGAATACACCATTTGGAGTGTGCTGGGGGCATTCTGGTCGATGGTAGTGAGCATTTTGCTAATAAACTAGCCCTGCACAAAGGGCTGTTTATATACCCTGAATTTGTTTGAAGACTGAAGAGAGACTGAGGGGAGGGGCCACTTGCAGGACTGCCCTGAGGGGGCACCTGGGAGGAGGCCAGGCCTTTAGCGTCCTTTCATGTTATTACCCAGCACCTGACATGAAGCACCGTTAGGTGCAAGTTGCCCTTCTCCTCGCCATGCTGGAAGAGGGCAGCGAGACATGCAAGCCCGGCACTCAGGTTGCCAGGGGCAGCTCTCCTACCCTGCCAGGGCCCTGTAGGAAGGTGCCCTGACAGCTTGGCCTTTTGCTGTGGCTACCTGGCATCCCCCTACCCCAGGTGCACGGACCCCTGCCTGGGAGCTACCGCCCCTCCCGAGAGGGGGACTGATGCTTGCCCAGGGGAGCTGAAGCAGGGCAGGGACAGGACGCCGTCACTCACTGTTACCCCCAGCGGGTCTGCGGTGCAGCCCCTGGTGACTGCGGGGGAGAAAGGAGGCTGCTTCAGGCGGGTGGGCTGAGCTCAGTGGCTGCGGGAGGTGGCAGCACTGGGCCCCACACACCGGAACTGGGTGGGGTGGGGCGGAGCAGAGAGACCCTGTGGTTGCTATCACCGCCTCCCTTAAATACTATGGGGCCGGCTGAGCTGCAGCGGGCGCTGCTCCCGCTCAGACTCGCCGTGCAGCTGCTCCGAGCAGTCACAAGATGCGGGCAGTCATCGCCTTAATCGCTATGCTCAGCAGCCTGCTTCTCTTCTTGTGCCTCCTTTGGCTCACGGCAGACGGGTCCCTCAGCACCAGGTAGAGAGGCTTACAGCGGGGTGAATCCAAAAGAATCCGGGCGTTGAAAGCCAGGTGTAGGTGGGGCAGGGTTTGGCTTTGGCTGGAAGCAGGCAGCTGCGGGGATGATATTGATACCTGGCTGGAAGGTGGGCTCCATGCCAGGAGGAGGTGGGATTCCAGAGAGCAGATACTCTAGCCTCTGAAATGCAGCCGGGGGAAAAAAGGAGTCTGACTTCATCATCCCCTTTATATACTAGCCACAACAACAGCAGAACAGCCTTCGCTCGGCTTTTCCTGAGCTATTTTGGCTCTGAGGCTTTGCAGTGTATTAATGATTCATGGAGGGGGAACGGTTCACGCACGGTAACGTTTCATTACAGTGTTTGACAACTTTATTTTCCTTCTTGCTTACTAGGAGCTGGGAGGAGGAGACAAAATCAGCTACTGATATCACACCTAAAGGGCTGAGAAAACTCAGGTCCCCTTTAACATCTGTCCAGCTTGCGACTCAAACCGAGAACAGGTACAGGCTATTTATTTCTTATTTAGTATTCATATTATTTATGATTGTGGTATTACTGCTCTATACAGAAATAATTCCCTACAGTTACCATTTGCTTTTATAAGGTCTTGATCGAAAGATGTTTAAAGCATATTAGAACAAGAAAATTGGCTTGCAGTGTAATAAAAGGACTACTCCATACTAGGTATCATCAAATCTCAATCTGTGGCTGGTTTTGTGTAGCAAAGCAAAGAGTGCTTTATAATTTGTTCTGAGCATATTTTTTTTCTTCAAAAATGTGGGTCTGTCTGAGGGTTGTTCATTTAATTTTTTTTTAAATCATCACACACTTTGTTCATAATGTGGATTTCTCCTTTAAAATACATAAGCTTAGAACCAGATTCTGAAATCCCTTACTCACACTGAGTAGCATCTTCTTCCAAACGTAGTCTCGTGGTTTAGTCCCAAGTGCCATGCTCTTTCTGAATCATTTTGTGGATCCTTGTTATCATGCCCCTTAATTTATATCACAATGCTTGATAAGGGTATAGTCAATAAAATAAACTGTGGGGGATGGGGGAAGTCATTTAATAAATGCAGGGCTTGAATGGTTTTTATAACCAAGAACCATATTTTGTCACTTGGTGTCATTCCAGACTGCTCACAGCATAAGGTACTACTCACCATGGGTAAGGGTAGCAGAATTGATATATTAGTCATTCAAAAGCTGGTACTATCTAGAATTTTTTTTCATGATTTTTTTTTTTACTTAATTTATCCATATTAACATTACAGGTGTTCTAATTAGCGCATATATATATTAAAAAAATAAATCAACAGGTACAGTGACTAAAGAGCCACACAATGATTTAGAGAGAATTTAGCAATTGCCTTTTTAAGCTTGAAGTGTGAAATTTTGGCCCTATTGAAGTCAGTGGCAAAACTCCCATTGACTTTAGTGGGGCCAGGATTCCACCCAAAGAGTCTAACTGAAATTTTTGGTTCAAACTACAAATGCTTTTCCCCCAGTCAATACAAATGGAGATAGTCCTACTATTCATTCAGTATTTCTTGCCAAGGAACCCCCCTCCCTCATCTCCGCCCCCAAATTTAGATGTTCCAAATGTCTTAAGTTTTTTAAAGTTTAGATGCAACAAAATATGCAATGCTGACAATGTGGAGCATATGGTCAGACTGTGTGAACACCTTTTGTGTTCTTGTCATCTGTTTCCCTTTTCTGTGTTCTTTCCCTCTCTGTCTGCTTTCTCATTCCTTCCTGCTCTCAATTACTAGTAAGTGGTTTCTCAGCATGTTCTCTGCTCTGTTGAGGTTTATGTATTTGTTGCTTCTATCTCTTCTCCACTTTATGTACTCTATTGCGTTTTTGTTTTCTTTTTCCCCCCTCTTAACTCCTTATGTTGCTTTCTTCCTCTTCCCTGCTAGTTTCTGTGTTGTGCTTTCCTGCCACTCAGCTCTGTGTGCTAAGCAATGGAGTCACATTGAATTCGAAGTGATGGCAGACTCGGAGTGCTTCAGCAAATGGGAATCTAGTCTATTTTAACCTGCTATTAGCACAGTCACAACCAGAGCAAAGAAATAGAGGGGACAGGAGGCATGTGGGAAGATCAGTGACAGGTTTTTAATCTCGGTTGTAAGGCAAGTGTTGATAGTCAGATCATTGTTAGGGACCTCATGGATGCTGGATGCAGCCAACTGCTGGTTCCTAGAGGGCCATGATGATGGAGTTCTTCTAAAAACAAACATTATGGCCCCTCCCCGAAGTGGCATGTGTCTCTTTCCTCGGCATACTTCTGGAGAACTCCTCCTCCCTGGAAGTCTGGTGGCAAAGTCCAAAAGGCAACCAAACTAAAGTATTGAATCAAACCCCAAAAACAGAACACGACCTCTCCCTGGGGTTTGTTCCTTGCACATATTCCTGTTGGGAATCCAGACTCTTCGCAGAAATGCAGCAGGCACAGCCCAAAGCAGCCATGCGGATTATCACTGTCTCTGGGGGAGATTCACAACAACTGTCTTTGCAGTATAGTCCCTGGAGACTCCCCTCCTCAGTTTTAAAGGGCCAGTGTACTCTGTTACTGTGGACTCACCTTCCCACCCCACTTTCTACAGGGGTGGCCAAACTGTGGCTAGTGAGCCACATGTGGCTCTTTTACCACTAAAGTGCAGCTCATGGTTCCCTCCACATCTCCCCCCCCCCCACCCCCATCCTTCACCTACCCAGGGGTGCGGGGGAGCTCGTGCAGCAGGGTGGTGGGGTAGGGGCTTCTGTCCAGCAGGGTTGCAGGGGGGGGTCTCAGGGCTGCTGCCCAGTGGGGCACACCTGCCAGGGCTCAGGGCTTCAGCAGGAGCAGGTTGAATCCCTGAGTCCTGGTTGGTATCTCCCACAGGGCTGAAGCTCCAAGCCCCAGCAGGCACAAACTTCTGAAGATTGTCATATGTGGCTCGGAGGGCCAGTAAGTTTTGGCCAACCCTGGTATAGAAGGTAGATCTGGAAAAGACCTATTAGTTCACTTAGTCAATCTCCCTAAAAAATGCAGAATTATTCCCTACAGGACATTTTCTAGTGCTTTGCCTGGTCTAGTTTTTGCAGTCTTAAGCAATGGGGATTCTGCCACTTCTCTTGGGAGATTATTTCAGAGCCTAATACATCTCACTGTTAGAAGAACATCAGGGAAACCTTTCTTATGATTCTCCATTATTAAAGTTATCATTCCATTGCTATTAATCAGACATCCCTTCCCCACGCCCACTGTCTCACACCAACCTCTTCCCTTCTTGGTAGCAGTAATCTTGCTTTAAAGACCAACTAGAATAAGAAGCAGATAAATAAGATCAGCCCAGGCAGGAGGAGGGGAAGACAGCTTTCTCAAAACCCAACTAATGCAGAGATTTAGGTTAATAGAAATGATAACAGGGCAGCAAAGAGCTGGCCAGCCACCACTTGCTACGTGGCACAAATTTTAAAGCACCTCTTAATATTTTCTTGAGCATCGTTATCTTTTTGACAGAAAAGTCTGTTTTGTTACAAACCTGACCTGCATTGTTGGGTTGGTCGGATAATTGGTGAAGGTGTTAAAAGAGCTGTGAGTAAGGAGAAAGGGAGAAAGGAGGTTTGCAGTGAGGATAAGTTAGAATTAATTAATACATCATATCACAGCCTTGTTTTCTCCATTTTTTTTCCTTCTACAATAACGGATTGTTTTGCATGACTAGGGAATAAATAACTATATTGTGATAATAATGAACTATGCTATAGAATCCAGTACGTTCTTCTGTCAAACTATTGTATCAGTGGGGTGGAGGGTGGGATAGGCTGATTACCAAGGTTATGAATTGTAACCTAGTAATAAGCTGCAGTTTAGATAAGTAGAGCTCCCACCCTTGCTGACTAATTTTTCTGCTGTCTTAATGTTCTGTAACTTCCCCCTTCAATGATATGTGCAGAAACACTTGAAGTGTATTTCCAGGACATACTTAGTGTATCTGCTATGTCTAAATGAATAGAAGCTCTATTGTAAGCTACTGCCAGGACACATTTATGTTCTGACACCGAGGGGTTTCTCAGCCTCTTCCAGTCTACCTAGCCAAAGTGAAATTGTTGTCTGTCATTCTGTCGAGTGTGTATTGCTATAACACCATTTCAGTATTATTACCTTATTATATTCTCTTCACTAGTCTAGCAGACTGCGAATATTGTTTGCCATGTTCTCTGACTAGTTTATGGATTTTTATAAAGAGAAAATATTGATACTAAATATGACACTGGTTCATATGCAACAGAAGGACTACCAAATTTCAAAGTGCCATTGAGTTAAAGGCTATTTAGGACCTGCTGCAACATTACTTATCCAAGCTAAAGTTTCATGGGAATTTTGCTTGAGAAAGGAGTGAAAGATCAGCCTCTCACACAGTTACCATTATTAATATTCTAAGGCAAATAGTTGTTCCTGTGGTTTGATAAAGTGTTTTTTACAGTCCATTTCACAAAGCATTTAGATCGTGTATTGCCTTATTAATCAAAGTGTCATGAACCTTAAAAACATCAATGTATTCTCATTATCAAATTCACTTAAATTGGTGGCAGAGTTAACAGTTTAATAACACCCTTATTATGGAAGAGTGAATTATTGGTTTCTAATATCCCCAACTAACACACTGTGAAAGATTCAAAATTAAATGTGTCTACTAGGGAGAAGATAAGACACACGAAT